TAATTGAATCCGGATGCCATAATAGTGTTAGAAAGACAAAAATTATCAATTAAACTCAACCTCAAATAAAAAATTAACAACAAAAAGAAAAAAGTAGTCGTCTATAAAAATTACAAAAAATTATTGCTTACATTTCACAAGAAACAAGCATTTCAAAACCTCTCATGTTTAGAACACTATTATAGTTAGATTTAACTCTGATTGGTATTTTTCATAATTTGGAAACTGAACAGGGGTCTATAGGTATTTTCATAATTATGCTATCAACAATGAGAGCAAGGGAGTATTTGTAACTTTGGAGGTCTTCCCCATCCGTTTGCAGTTAAGACTGATCCTTAAGGCTAATCTTTAACTATTCATGATAGAAGAAAACTGTTGAATCGAGAGTAACAAGCATATACGTACCACATCATCATCTCTCAGTTCATGGACAGCCACAGTGGACCGCGTTCTTAGAGTCACGCTTTTAGGAATGGGAAACTGTTCTGCCTCCTCGCTCAATTTCCCTTCTCTTGCCCTCTTTTTCCTTAACATGAACTTTGTCGGGAGCGGCTAAAATAAAAATGTAAAATCAGTACAAGCATGCCAATAGATGCACACACTTCAATTTAGAATAAACAAAAAAAAAAGAAAAAAAAAAAGGACTAACCAAATATTTTGCTTCTGATTCACCAAAAGTGACAAGGTATGTTGTAGGATCATCAACATCATCACCACGCACCTGCCAAGTCATTATTAACAGGACATAATATGAGAATCCAAGATAAACTATAAAAATTATAATAAATAATTAAATTAATAGTAATTAGGTTATGGAAACATACATCAAAGTGATACTCGCGGACCCATGAACATGAGATATCTTCATTCTCATCATACATATCCTTCTCTAGCTGATACCATAAACAAGAAAGGACGAAAAGAATAATCCAGAAGTAAAATCGACAAACGTACCATGTTATGTCAATTCAATTAGAACAAATTTTACCTCGTCGGCAGCTGGCACAATGTAAGCTAAAAACTTATCAGTATTCTCTACATGAGAACTTGAGGACACATAACTTTTCATTATCGCCTGAGAAGTATGCAATGACACATCAGACCAACAGCTTTCATATCCTACATACTCCCAACACTATAAATACGTGTAAGTATTTACTTACTTTGCTTTCACACTCAATCCGATCTGCTGCACTTAGTTTCTTGTAGATGTCTGAATCAGCAGTTGGGGCATTATCGAAATTCACAACTACAAACTGGTCATCATACCTGGAAACATAAGAAAATTCATCATCAGATTAAAGTCAAGAAAATTGTGCGCATTCTGGAGGCAAACAATGACTCAATTTGCTCGATCCCTAATTTTAAAATGAATAAAAAATAAAAACCAGACATGACATCATTGCTATGATGAATGATTTTGGTCCCACGTCCAATATTTTACTAATCAGGAAACACATCTGTAAAGGTATAACAGTTCACTAACAAAAGCTACTTTCAAACTGTTCAGATAAAAATCTTAAAATTTTCATAGAGATTTTGGAGCCTCTGAAATGATGTGAAGGACGGTGCTATCATACATAAAGTATATATGAACAAAAATGAGACGTACACAAGCATTCCGATTTTCGCGCACAACATCGCACACCACACACAGAGGATAGGGAGAAGGAGAGGACAACATAAAAAAAAATAGAATCTAATAACTCTTACACTACCATGTGCAAGGAAGGTAACTAATATGTACTTTCTGATAATTAATTATAAAAAAAGAACAAATAAAGACACTATACCGGTTAAAATCAGGAAGGAGAGGAAGAACCCTTTTCGGTTGTAGTCGAGGGTTAGTTGCATGAACAGGCTTCGACTTGCAAGCCTCAAATGAAGCAACAATATCTTTAATTTTCTTTTCCCTGGGAAAAAATGTATTCAAATAACAGAAACAAATGCAGTATACTCTAGCTATTATCAGAAGTATATTAAGTAACTAACCGACTGTTGAGGTTCTCCAAAAGGTCCCGACCACGAGATTCTCGCAATTCTCTAGCTTGTTTCTCAGACAGAGACTGTTAATAAAACAACTTATATTCTTTAGCTTCTAGATGTGGTTTCTCATATTTTCACCTTTTCTTTTCATTTTTTTAGGGGCATAACATAGCTTTCATGAATACTGCTTTCTTGTAGGTGGGGGTGGAGAGTGGAGATTCAATATTTTACCTGCTTAGTTGAATCCATGCTGAGAGGGGAGATGTATTGAGTTTTAACAAGCCAAGAGACACCTTTGTCTGTTGGCCTATCCTTCTTTTTTATGCCATCAGACTTAATTGGTGTGATAGGATCATCGTCGCGTAGTAATTCCTCATCCTCTGGATCAAGTTGTATTCTTTCTCTATTCTTCGGGCGGCTGCTCAACAACGATTAATAAAATGAATCAGAAAATAATAATAACAATAATAATAATAATAATAATAATAATAATAATAATAATAATAATAATAATAATAATAAAACTGAAGGGAAACAAAATTTGAGTGAGATAAGTTTACTTGTAAACACTCAGATCAAGAAGGTCCAGCGGTATCCCCATATCTGGTTCAACATGCAGCTGAGGCTTCCAATTTTTCTCCAGTGACGTGATTTGATATTTGCAGTATCTGCAGAGACTCAATTATGTCGTTTGTACAAACTTATGAAGAATGAAAAAACAAAGCGCAGATTCTCGATTGAACACATGTAAATACTACTTTAGGAAAAAAAAATATTAACTATAAAATAATCATTAAGCAACTATAAATAGCAATCACTTTTAGAATAATTTACCACACTAGTATCTCCAAAAAAAGAAAATGAAAGAAATGAAATCACAAGGAATCATAGCCTAAGTTTCCCTTTTCTATCCCTAATTCTTTTTCTTTCTTTCCTTTTTCTTTTTATTTACTATGTCCTCTAATTATACCCACCCTGAAGTGTCCTAATAGGTAAATTAGGCATAAAGTCATTGCAAAATGCAAATAAAACAATAAAAAACCTGGAATAATCCCCCTATTCAACAGAGATTCAGTTACCAAGAGCACTGATGTGATAGAAAATAAGGAGAGATGAGTGAGAAACATAATTGAGGGATGAGAAGAAATCACGTGGAAAGTAAAAGGCACCAAAAAAGTGGTTTGGCTGAGAAACTATTATCATCTCATTAAGACACAGAAAAAGAAACTAAAATCAACGCAGATATGGTTCATACCGATCTGGGTCCCTCTTTAAAGACAAAAGCTTGATCTTTGCAGATGGATCAGGCAATTCATTTCGGAACCTGCATGTCACAAAATTACCGGTCAATGTACATTTATATAACTGCTTCAAAGAAATGGATCAAAGTTATCTCTGAATCAGCACTCATCAAATGATAAAAAATTACTGTTTTTAACCCAAATCAACAAGATATTTGAGGGTCTTGTTAGGTACCTAAAATACACTCGAAACTGCTGTCCATCTTCGATATTGAAAAAACCGTAGGGGTTGTTTGCTTATGGGTTATGATAATACCAATAAAAATTGATAAAAGTTGATACAATCAACGCCTTTTACAAAATTTACTCAATATCTAGCAATCGAAAAGACAAAGAAGCAATCACAAAGACTTGAACCAAATATTACCTATTTTAGTGAAAGCACGAAATAAAAAGATTTTAAAAAGGGTAAAGCCGCGAGGCTTAGAGCATGAGGCATCGAAATCAAAATTTATTCAAGATCTAGCAAACGGAAAGCCCAAAGAAGCAAAATCACAAAGACTTGAACCAAATATTACCTATTTGAGTGAAAACACGAAATAAAAAAGATTTTAAAAACGGTAAAGACGCGAGGCTTAGAGCATGAGGCGTTGAAATCAAAAGAAATGCAGAGGACAATAGGAAGTATTCACAGCCAACCGCTCCAAGATGAGGTTTGTAAAAATGGAAAATGATATAGGGGTAAATATTTAGGAAAACAGAGCACCAAGACTTGCGTAGAATGAACGCACAGAGTAAAGTGGGGTGAAATATGATGTGAGAACGGCAAATGTGAATTTTCCCTAAAAGACAGGGATGTAAAAGGGACGAACCTACAAAATCAAACTGAAACTTAATATTAACACGGGGATATGATTTGAACTAGATTGCTCATACAGTAATATTAACTCATATAACTCAGAAGCAACAACAAACATATCCCAAAAGATTACACCATCTACTCACTCTCATCGAGGCATGTAGGAAATATTAAATTGTTAAATTCAGATGTTACCACGTTGTAAGCCAATGCACATAGATGGTGCCCAAAATGTAGTCAACCACACCAATAAAGTGTAAATTATTAAACTCAGACCTCAAGAAATTCGCATGATGTGATTGCAGTGACAAGATAAATCAATAGATTGACATAATAATCACAATGACAAAGTAATAGCAATTACTTGCTAAAATTGCAGTCATGGTAATATCTTGGTACGTTTATAATATAGAGTACTAAAATCCATGAACCCAGTGATCAGAACTTTGCATGTTGCTATTGCAGTGACAAGATAAATCAATATATTGCTATAATAATCACAATCACAAAGTAATAGCAATTACTTGCTACATACCAATCACTTTAAAATCTCCCACACGTGCTAACTAAAGAACCTAAGAGATATGAACACTCGCCACAGACTCCGAGATCCAGTATTGATTTCACAGCACAAATTCAACCTTAAAACAATTATCATGCAAATAGATCAAGCTACAATAATCGAATAGAGAACCCAAAATATACTCACTTCATCTTGCACAGGAAAGTCGTCGGCTTCTTGAGCCGGTTTTCAATTCTATCTCCACTCAGCAACGGGGTACTTCTCCGGTCCCCCATGTGCGACCCGCTAACCGACCCATGGCCCTTCGACCCGGAAGCCAACATTTGGGTCTTTTGCAGTACTTTGTTCTGCGACTCCCTCAAATGCTGCTTGAGTTTCTCCTCTTGCTTCTGTTTTTCGTATTCCTTCTTTTTCCTCAGTCTCCTCTCTTCTTCTGTCTCGACCCTACCCGACCGACTGTATGGCTTGCTGCCCGAAGGCAATGGAGGCTTGTGATCCTTTTTATTAGGTGGCCCGGCGTTAGGCCGTCTGCTCTCCCTCACACTGGCAGGAGGTCCGGCAGGCGGAGGAGACGAGTGCTGAGCTGGCGGCAGAGGCGGAGGAGGAGAAGAGGGTGGAGGAGGTGGCGGCGGCTGATTAAACTGTGAATATTGAGAAGACGAGTAGTATACTTGAGAAGATTGGCCGGGCTGTGATGGCGGAGGTGGAGGAGGAGGAGGGTAAGAGCCTGACTCCGGTGGTGGTGGCGGCGGCGGCTGATACTGAAACGGCAGCTGCTGAGGTGGCGGTGGCGGTGGCGGCAGATGGTTTCTGGCAGGAGGATTGAACTGCTGCTGCTGTTGAGATGAGGAGGATGGTCCGTAGCCTGATGATAGGTGATAGTTCGAGCTAGGGTTTGAATGAGAATAGTTCTGATTGTAGTTTGAAGGGCCCCAATTTTGTGAGTACTGAGAGCCGCCGCGTGAGTGGGGAGGGGGCGGTGGGGGAAGAGGGTTTTGGTTTGGCGGCGGAGGTGGAGGAGGGTGAAACGGCCGATATGAAGCCATTAATTTGAAATTTGGGGTGAAATTACACTCCGATTTCAGGATTTTACGGGCGTGCGACAAAGCCCTCGGAGCTGGAAAAAGGGGGTGAGAGTTGAAATCAACGCCGGAGCAGAGAATCTAGTAAATTTCCGAATGCGAGAACCACGAATTCCTTGAACAGATACGGAATTGGATTTCAGACTTGCTTTCCGATCAGATTCAGCATAACCTAATCGAGCACTGAAGAAAATGCGATGTGAAATCGAGAGGCATAGAAAGTAAATTCAGACAGAAGAAAAAAAAAAAAATCGATTTTGACGTATGGGCATGAGATCCAACCTCAAGAAAATGAAATTGGAGATTCAAATGAAAACCCAATTCCTAAGGCAAGAACCCTAGCGACCAGATTGAGAAGTCGAATCAATAGCTTAGGAGGCTCTCAATTAATATGCCATCTTCTTGAAACATGCAAGTCTGCGAGTAGGGTGTGGATTGTGCGGGGTTTTGTGGAGTAAAAGAAAGAAATATTGCAGGCGCTCGGGCTTATAAGCAGCGGTCGGTCGGTCTATGATTATGTCATCTGAGAGACTGAGATCCTATCTGTACATTGCAGTAAAAAAGAAGAGGACAGTGAATGACATTTGACCATATTGGAAAATACTATGAACAACACATGTTGATTTAGCTATTTTCACATTGTGAATGTGTGGGATCTTTGCTATTTGTCCGAAAACGTGTGTTTGCAGGTCACTTGTATCAATATAGATTTAGATAATTAATAATCCCTTACTTATTTTATTTTTAAGATTTACCTTAAAAGTTTAACAAAAATGACAGTTTTAAAGGTGTGTTTAGATATATGTTTTTGATGGGATATTTGGGTTTTGGTTGATTTTTTTAGTTGAATATAGTTAATTTTGAAAAAATTTACCGAGTTAGGTGTGTGTAATTTTGAGTTTGATATAAAATTAGTAAAGTTGTTTTGAAAAAAATGGAAGAGATGTGATTGGAAGTGATATATATAGTTAAAATTAGTTGAGTGGATAAATAATGAATGTAAATGTGACATTAGCCACCAAATTCCTTTGTCGGAATAGATTATACGATGTTGCTTTACCATTTGGGATGCAGCCTCGAAGATGAATAAGTATTGCTTCCAGGCAGTTGACAACACCTTACGAGTCTTAATGTAAGTAGTGGATCCATCGAGGAAAAATTTCTCGCTTGGAAACAGGTCCGTTGTATATGGTGGGGATTTTAGACAAATACTTCTTGTGTCCCTAAAGGCAATTGACGAGACATAGTGAATGCGACGATTAATTCATCCAAGTTGTGTCGAAATTGTACCGACCAAAGACTGACTCAAAATATGAGGCTTCGAAGCCTTGGTAGTGGTGATGAGTACGATGAGCTAAAGCGCTTCTCGAAGTGGCTTGCAAGCATTGGAGACGGAACACTTGGTGGATCGAACAACGAATATGCCGATATCGACATTCCCGATGATACTATTCTAAAATCATAAAGGGATCCTATTACTACTATTATTGAGAGTACCTACCCAATTTTATAGAGTTCTAGGTAGCTATTTGAAGAACAAAGCAATATTCGCTCCCATGGTTGATGTGGTTGAGTCCGTTAACGAGTAAATGAGTTCATTGATCTCTTCCAAGGGAAGGGCATATTTGTGTTCAGACACCGCTTGCAAGTCAGATGTTGGATATGACTATCTTCAAGATCTTAATACTTTTGAATTTTTGAATGAGATTAAGTGTTAGGGACTTCCGAAACATAAATTGCACTTGAAGGTCGGCACTCTAGTGATGCTGCTGAGGAACATTCAATGGGGTTGTGTAATATAACACATTTGATTAATACTAAGCTCAACAGTCATATCTTCGAATGCAGAATTCTAACCGGTGCTAGAGTTGGTGATAAGATTCTTATTCCTAGGCTCACAGTCATTCATTCCGATTTTAGGGTACCGTTCAAGTTTCAGCGCAGACAGTTTCCTGTCATGGTTTTCTAGTGCATGACAATCAATAAAAGTCAATGTCAGTCTCTGTTACCCGTCGGTTTAGTACTGAAGAACTCTATTTTCAGGCATGGGCAGTTGTACGTTGCTCTTTCCAGAGTCACGAATTGTATGGGTTTGAAAATAATGATTTATGGTGATGGAGATTCTGTTGATAGGAAAACCATTAATGTCGTATATAAAGAAATTTTTAATAATATTTAAAATTATTTTCTTAATTCATAATTTTTCATGAATTATATTATTATTTTTAATTTTTGTTTCTTTTTTCTTTTTGTATTACTTTCTCTCCTAACACGGCTAGAGTTAGACACGACAACTGGCGACACCTCCCAAAGCCGGAGAGATAGGCTGCGCAACGAGATCCACCAACGGCCATGACACCCACAAAGCTCTAGGTGAGGCAAAAAAGAGGGCCCCAGCCGCAATTTGGCCCATGCCAACCAGGTGAGCGCAAAGGACAACCTATTGGAAGAGAGGGGTAGCAAAAATTGGACGAGGGCTTTGTTCAAGAATTTGGGATTTTTTCTTTTCTTTTTTACAGAGAGCGAGCTCACCTCTTTTGTTCGGAGAGCTCGATTACTAGTTTACATATATCATTATATTATAAAACTATCAAATTACTTAATTTTTTTTAGTCCCAGACCGTTTTTGGCTGTTTAGACGGACACAATCTAAGCTCGATTTTGGGCGGATACAATCTTTCCCACTAAGCGCTTAGCTGCACACATATGGCATCTTAAGCCAATTTTTGCAACATTTAATTTGAGTTCACGTTCACTAGTTAACCGATAAATTGTTCAATTAGAGCAATTAGTTTTTAGAAAATAATAATGAACCTGTATCTAAGAGCATCTCTAATGGTCTTTCCATTGCTTTACATTATGGTCACATGGCATAAAAAATCTTACGTGGCATGAAAAATGTCTAGAAGACTTTCTAAATGTAGAAGTCCTTCTAAACAACTTCTATTATATATTATATCATTTATTCAATTTCTCTCTCTTCTCCAACCAATTAGGGGGTGATTGGATATGAATTCAACTAGTAAAAAACTAGTTTTTTTTGAACTATAGTTAAGTTTGAAAAAAAAGTAGTATGGTTGGTTGTTAGTGGATATATTAAAAAAATATTTAAATTAAAATAATTAAAGTTGATTTGATGTAAAAGTAGGAGAAAATGATTGGAAGTGATGGTTAGTTAAAATTATGTGAGTGGGTGAATAGTGAATTATAGTTGATGTGATGTGTAATAATGATTGGTTGATATTATTAAATTATATTGATAACTAGTATGTATACCCGTGCGATGCACGGGAGATAATATAAATAGATATGATAAGAAAATATTAATATTATTTTTTTTTTTACTTTACTATACCTAATAAAATTGATTAATATGTTGACGTACATTATTTCAAATATATATATAATTTTATAACTTTCAAAAGTGATATTTGATAATTTAATTATTTAATATTTCTCAAGTAATAAAAGTATTGTTATGAATATTTTTATTCTCATTTTGACTCATTGGTAGTTTGCACGGCAGACGACAAATAATTAGTTTATAGTCTTAGTGTTATATACTTAGAAATAATTGTTTATCTTTAATTTTGCATTGTTTAAGTATTTAAAGTTGTACCGGATTTGAAGAAGTTTTTTTTTGCTTTCTCATTTTCAGAGATTTTTTTTTTCCCCCCGAAACGATAGACTCATTTTCGGAGATTAAACATGTACTTTTGGATATTTTGATAAAATTCGTATATTTTAAATCATATCTATTATATGTATTTTAAATTTTAGATAAATATATTATAATCAAGAAAACTTAAAATAAACATAATGAACATAATTATACTTGTTAATTTTGAACAATAATCCCAACTGAAACATTAATAATACGATGAAGTAAAAAACTTTAAGAAATTAAGAAGACTCCAAAAACAAACTTAAGCCATATATATATATGCACATAATCGTAGATATTAATTCAAAAGCGTTATAACATTAAACAATATTTCGGAGTTAAAAAATTCTGTGAAAAGAACAATTGGAATTAGGTAAATAATTTTTTTTTCCTGAATAAGACTTGACGAAACGTCATCCTAAATATAATATTGACAATCTTATAAAATTAAAAGATTTATAGACTTATAGTCTATGAAAACCACCCAAAATAAACATAATATACCGTCGACCTTACACAAACAAATAAAAATATAATCTGTTAGTCCTTACAAAAACAAACTAATGCGTGGCCCGTGCGATGTACGGGAAAACAACATTACGATTGTATTATAAATTAATTATAAGTAACATTAATCATGATTTACCTATTATTTTTAAATTAAACCGGGTTGGACACAGTCCGACCGGATGGACCGGGAACCGGTTTATAACCAGTCTAGTTCGGTTGAATAAAATATTTTCTATCGAATCCTTCAACACCGCTCGGTTGGACTGGTAGGATCGATACGATTTTCTAAATAGATTTTGCTACATTTAAAATTATTTTAAATAAAATTACATATTTAAATAAAATAGAGATTTATAAACCTTTTATCAATTAGTTTAAACATTTGAATTTATAAATTTTTTAGATATTTAAGTAATTATAAAATATTTATAAATTAAAATCTAAACCAACCACAAATGATATAATAAAATTACTTTGATTGTTTTGATGAGGGTCCGATTCTAAAAACCTTATATTTACTATACATTAATAACATTATAATAAAATATTATTTTATCTACATAAATATTAATAAAATGATATATAAGTATCTATAAATTATTAAACATGTTGTCATAAAAGGATGACATGATTTTCCAATTATGATCTCTGATTCTTTGTTCTAAAGAACAATAGTGGCATTTGCAATAGAGTCCGAGATGAGCAAATTCATCTTGTATCTATTAAAAAAAAATAGCATGAAAAAGTCATCAATTATGACAAAGAGAATGAAGTAAATCAAATTATTCTTTAGAAAGACTCCTTATAAAAAAGGATATTCTATCTATTTCCAAGACAATAGTAAATTTGAAATCAAAATTTGGAGATATCTGAATTTTTTGAATACTTCAAAAGAGTCCGAACTATGTGAAATTATGAAGTTGATTTGATATTGAATTCAAGATCTGTTGGAATTTGAAAAAAATTCCTTAATTTTAGGTTGTTCAATTATATAAATACATGTGATTTGATTTTTTCCAATTCAAATTGTAGATGAGCCACATTTTACATTTGTTATATGCGATTATTTATTATCCGATTTTATGACAATCGAGTGGCAAGGAATTTAGAATTTTAAATTATCAATTAAATATTACATTTCATTTTCTTTGCAATTAGTTTTTTTGAATAAAAAAGGAGAAGATATAAAGTTTATGCCTGATTTTATAATATGACCCATTTTTAATATTTAATTATATAAAGTAAGATATGATATTATAATCTAAAGTAGCTTATGTTCTGATATAAAAACTCATACATTATCCGTGCCTGTAAATTAGATACACAATAACCGATTTTATGGGAAGTGAATTAAAACATGAAATAAAAAATAGCTAAAAAATAACCAATTTAAGGCCAACTGATTTTTTGGGAAGTGAATTAAAACATAAAATAAAAAATAGCTGAAAATAGTATGTAATTAATATATGTTGACTTTTTCTTCTTACTATTTATGTTAAATAGTAAATCTTTTTATATATATATAGATCAAGTAGTCCTTAAAAAAGTGAAAACAAATCAAAACTAAAAACTTGTCCAACTGGTAGTGGTTTAGAACTTAGTTCTTCCGAAAATAAAAACATAGAATATATTAGCTATATGCGGGGATAACAATCACGAAATAATAAAACATAATTCTCTCCATCAGACTAACTCATCTCTCCCTCCTCCACTCACTCATCTATATGTGAACCTTCAATTGATCAATCCTGCAAACAGTTATTGTTTACATTTTTGTTATTCCAACAAAGTATAAATAAATAAGGTAATTTATAAGTTGCAATAATAAATAAAATAATAATTATTTACAGTAAAACCTTAAAACGCCATTGTCAAGAAAACTGCCACACAACAATAGAAATAGAAATTATTATAATAAATTAAAAACTGTCCAAATTAATAAAGGTGATCAACAATCTTCATTCGTAAATGATCCTTTCCTGTTTGATGAAACACTTACTCAAAATTGTCCACATTATTGGTGGTCCTTATCCTTCAATATAAAAATGTACAGTAAGAATATACTATAATTAACGAACACAGAAATATGATAATCTTAAAAACTCATAAACAAACCTTTGTAAAAATAGTTTATTTTATTATTCACTTGGATTAACATTAATCAATTTGGCTATATGGGTACCTTTAAAAATATAATAATAATAATAAATTTAAAAAAAAAATTAAAAAATAAAAAGTAATGTGCGTCGAGTAACAAAAGTACATAACAAAAGAAATTATATGACATATAAGTAAAAGCCATACAATATTGCTCTTAAGAATTAATAACATATAAGTAAAAATCATACAATATTTCATTTTAAAAAGTTAATGAAATAAATAAATTTATTGATGTAATCCTAATTTCTTTGTAATAGATACGAATCCAATACTAATTTGTTGCTAAACAATAGTAATTAATTGTTCATGGACAGACGCATTTCATATAAAAATTTTTGGTAAGCGCGATAACTACTACAACAAAAACAACAAACTTATATGTATAAGTAGTAAATATATTATTTATATTAGTTAGTTTAATTTATGTAATATGCTGTGAGGTGTCTTTGTGTTATTATTCGCAATATTTGTAATTATCAAAATAATGAAAGTATAGTTTTCATTAATTAAATAGAAGGCCATAGTCAGTTGTTCTTAAAAAAATATTATCCAGTATTTAAATGGACACGANATAAGAATTTAATTAGAGGTTTTACTTTGTTAGTTCTTTTAATGATATTGCATAAATGCAAGTTGACGGTTAAATGAATTAATAAATATTAAAATTCAATAAAAATTAAATACCAAACGAGGGCCACTTGTCAAACACACAACCAACTTTCCTTAAATGGCACTTGTGGGACCCACTCTTAAAACTACTTTTAGTAAGTGTGTTGCCTAATTATATCGTAGATAGATATTAGAGATAGGAGAGTTGAATTAAAGTTGAATTAAATTTGAGTTTTGATTGGGATATTTACTGTACAAATTATATATAATCAGGCCTTTACAATTTTACACATCACAAATGACACCACAATTAACACTAACCATTGGATATAAATTTTTTTAATTCACTTTCTCCATGCCTACAACACAATTTCCATTGGAGATGGGTGGCTCTGTCCAATCTGTGTCCCAAGAAAAATATAGGAAAATACAAAAAGACAGACGAAGAAAAAAAAAAGTTAAAAAATAAAGTTGAAAAGGATCAAATTCATTTTCTTCGATCACAATCACATTACTTGCCGCTCATCATTTCACACCTGAAAAAATATATATAAACCCCAATCCACACTAGCAATAAAGAGAGGTGATTTTTGCCATGTTGAGCTCCCTAAAAAACACAACATTCATCATGCCACATCTTATATTCAAGCATCTAACACCCTAAAAATCTCTAGTCCACTTGAAACTAAAACAAACAATTCAAGAGCAGGATTCAAATTCAAGATACAGATAAACAAGAAAAAACAGACCAAAAACCATAACACGGTTAAAGTATAAACACAAGGATCTTTTCATAGGCTCAACGGTAATGACGGTAGTTGGGGCTGTACATACAGCTCAATGCATATGCCTCTAGGTTATCCGGTTGTGGCAGACGAGTTGCCAAACCTATTAAAAAAAAATTATTCTTTTTTAAAAAAAGATGTGATATGAAAAGTTTTTAGGTAAATGTAACTATAAAATACATTACTAGCATAATCTGCAATATGTGAATCAAAATGAAGATGATGTTTGTTACCAAGTTCATATGCTTTAGCAGCCACTTGGGCTGCAATTTGGGCCGAAATCTTTCGGATATTTGAGAATGGTGGGTATATGAGCCCTTTATCTAAGTTCTCTTGGCTGACCTGAGCAGCTAATGCTTCCGCTGTTGTAAGATAAACAAAAGATTACATGCACAATACATCAAATAATTAGCGAAAATTGTTGAACAGACCTTGTTTAGTAGCTTTACTTTTAGACCCCAAAAAATTTCAAGATAAAATTTAAAGACATAATCAAATCTTAGCAGTACCTTTTTGTTCCTTTTGGTAATTTTTTTTAGGCTTCTTTAAATATTTTAGCTAGTAATGATCCCAAAACCTAGTGGTAGTTTATATAATTACCCCAAGAGCGTTATTTAATAAGAGTCGTGAAAACTTATAATGGGAACAAGGGCAAAAATAGGTGGCCGAAATTAAACTTACAAGCTGCCAGAAGCATATCGTCGTGAACTCGTATGGCACCAGAAATAATCAAACCCAGACCAAATCCCGGGAAGATATATGCATTATTTGCCTTCAAAATGAAATTTATGCTTAAATCAGCAGATAAAGTATTTACGAAAAAGGAATTACATAATTATGCTAATAATAATAGGTTATAGAGAACATAAAGTGCTTTGACTGAACCTGGCCGGATGCATAAAATTTGCCATTATATTCCACCGGGCTAAATGGGCTCCCACTAGCAAAAATGGCTCGGCCCTAACCAACGAGTACAAAGAAAAAGTGAAATTCATTGGAAACTGAAATTATATAATTTAAAATAATAATCATGTGAAGTATGAAGAATGCAAACTTGAAGATAAAAGCCTAAAGATCACCTCACTCCACGCATAAGCTTCTTCAGCCGTACATTCAGACTGTGACGTTGGGTTAGAGAGAGCAAGGATAACTGGTTTCTGAAAGCCAATGAAATGCAATTTCGTAAGTCGACCATTATAAAATAAAAAAATAAAACAGAATCTCCAGAAGTTAAAAAAATATACAAGTTTAATATCCTTTCCCAAACCTTATTAATGGATGCCATAGCTTCGACCACTTCTTTGGTGAATGTTCTTCCGGCTCCAGATGATCCAATCAATACAGTTGGTTTTATGGCCTATCAAATGAAAACAGGACGAAGATATATCACATTTTGACTGCCATTTTTATTTGGGTTGATTTCCAAGCACACACTTGAGGTTGATTCAAATTTCAAAAGGCAGAATGAGAAAAGAAAAGAAAAAACTCCATCTTTCATAATTTACACCCTCAGAAAAGGGTAGTTCTTACAATAAGCAAGAGGGTGTTGGCAATACTTGCCACTTGGTTAAAAGTAGTGTTCATAATTTCGAAAGATATTAAGTCTTTGGCGAAGCTCAGGGGTTGTTAATGTAATTTATCCTCCTATATCTGAGAACACTTTTTTTAGCATACACATATATGACTCAAATCACACACACACACACACACACACACACACACACAGAGAGAGAGAGAGAGAGAGAACCCGCACCTTGACAGCATCCAACAAAGTTCTCACAGGTTCATGTTCATGAGCCCAGGGCCTCTTGAAGTGTTGGAGTGTCTCAATACGAGATCTGACGATCAAGCCCTAGAAAAGCAAGAGTTCACATAGTTTTTGTTTAATATAACAAATGTATTTAAAACTCAGATAAATAGCTAAAGATTCATAATGGAGAATGTACTTTCAGTCACAGTACCTTCGAGTCAACGAGCGAAATCTTCTTGCGAGCCTCCTCTACTGGGATGCCAGTCTGCATATGTAACGGATATGCATTTTACAGACAGGTTTTGTACAATGGATACGATTTCAGCCAAGATAGCAACAATAATAGATCATTCTTACAATAAAAAAAATAAATTTCTATCTTTGACCTGTTTCGAAATCTCAAGTGCGATGAGTTCAGCAATGCCAGTGCCAGCCTGCCATAATAACACACAGGAATAAAATAAATAAACAGAAAGAAAAATAACAAAAAATATAAGCGTACCAATAAAAAAAATGAAGGATATACAGAAGGAGAAAGAGCTAATTCAAATATACATGTTACATTGAGCATATAAAAAGAACCAAGTATCGATTTAAACATAGGAATTACCAACTATTTTGTTAACAGGGAGTGTCTGAAAAAATACAAAATCGAAATAGTATAATGAGATGAGTTATAACAGGCACACCTCTCCAGCTCCAAGGAATAGAAATCTATGGTCAGACAAAGTACCGCCCACTAAATTCAATGCAGCCATAAGCCCGGCAAGGACCACAGATGCTGTACCCTGATACGAAAATCAACTTTATGCTGTAAATTAGCATTGATATGAAAAGAAATGAACCAGATAAATATTATAGACACGAGTAAATATATTTCAAACTCATTAACAGGAAAAAATGAATCCTGTAAACTTACCTGAATATCATCATTGAAAACAAGATGGGTAGGTCCGTACTTTGCAAGAAGATCAAAAGCATTATGATTTGCAAAGTCTTCGAACTGCACAATCATAAGAAGGGAGGAAAAGAACAATAGGAAAAAAGAAATGAACTTTTAAGAATTAACATTGAAATAAATAAATAAATGGTACAAGAATTTTTCTGCTAAAAAACGACCAACCTGGATAAGGACTTTTTCTCCATAGTTCTGCTTCACTGCAGACATAAACTCATGAAGGAGCTCGGCATACTCCTGTTGGTGTGGATAAATTTTCACTTTTGTAAAAGCAAAAAAGTTACGACACCCTCAAATTTACTGTGAGGTAACAGATTGTTTGTTAACCTGTCCTGTTGCTCTCCTTCTTCTAAGTCCAATATAAAATTCATCATTTAATAACTGCTCGTTATTCGTTCCCACATCAATGGTCACAGGCAAGCACTGGAATGNTGAATACAACGAGAGCTTCCCAACAGGTATCCCCATTCCCTGTCGGCATTGAATAATATAGATGAATAAAGCACATTATATGCAAGTCACCATATATGCTACAGCCTAGATAGCTTTAAGTTTATGTAACAACGAGTGGGATCAAAGAAAAAAGAATAGACAAAGTTACCTGGCAGCCAAGATCTCCCAGTCCCAATATCCGCTCGCCATCGGTCACCACAATGACTTGAATCTTCTTCTCCGGCCAATTTTTCAAGACTTCAAGAATCCTTCCCCTAAAAACACACAACCGATAATCAACTCAAAACGTGACAAAAAGAATATTACAGCACACAAACTAGGATGACCCTTTATGTTTGTGCAATGTATGAAACTCACTTTTCTTTGAGACTAATAAAGAGACCCTGAGGTTGTCTGAAAATGCATCCATATTTCTGGCAAGCTTCGCCTACAGTTGGAGTGTAGACCACAGGAAGAAGCTCCTCGACATTGTCTATGAGAAGCTTGTAGAACAATCTTTCATTCCTCTCCTGAAGAGAATGACACAAATTAAACATTAGAATGCACTGTTGCTGTAAAAATGCATGGATGTATGGTTGTGACGCGTGAGACATCAACAGGCTAACATAAGAACCAATTCCAGCAAAAGTGAAAATAGCAGCTGCAAAGTAGAAGTTTGTTACAGATAGATAATGAGATTGGCAATAAGTTGCAAAAAATGCTTAATTTATGTGCAAAAGTCAAATCAGAAATCTAAGCTCCCTTTCCCTGCTTATAGTTTGATATTCTGATTAAAATTATACACAATCAAAACACAAATTGGACACTTGAGATAACACATACTTTTTTCAGCATTGGCAGAAAAAAACTTTTTTTCATAGTGTTTGTAAAATGCACCAGTAATCGACAATACCAAACTTGGAATGCATGAGATGGATCTAAACGGGACACCTTGTCATATTTTTTGCGGTGTGTGAATAAATTAAACAATAATGCAGATTATATTTTATAAATTACCTGGAGGTCCATCATGGCCATGTACCTCTGTAGTGGCACTTGGTACTGGCGCATATTGTGCATCATTTTCTTAACCTACACAGAAAAATATACAATTAGTCACTCAATAAGTAACAACAAGTTGAAAACAATTATTTGTAAATTGTAATACTGGAAATTGGTTTTAGATGGGTCTCAATTATGCTATAACCTGGATGTCTTGGCTAATAACCACCGGCGGCAAAAGACCACGTAAAAAGTGAGCATCTCTCTCTTTCTCTGTGAAGGCAAGACCTTTGTTGTAGTGAGGGTCGCGCAACAATGGATATCCACTGCAAAAATATAATACATACAGCGAAATTAGGAGAGAATACAAATACAACAACAACATACCCAGTATATTCCCAACAGGTTGGGGTCAGTTGTACGCAGACCTTACCCTTGTAATTATACAAGGAGGTTGTTTCCGTAGCGACCCAAGGTGCATTGCGCCGTTTGATATATTTATTTTTTTTTTCTAGAAACTTCACTAATAAAACTTCACTAATAGAAGAAGCACTAGAATTTAATTGAGCCATTTTGATCTAGTCCATTATTAGCACTATGCCAGGAGAATTGTCAACAATGACTCTTCCAGCTCCATTTTCGATCCATTTTGATCTAGGAGAGAATNTAGAGAAATAATCCCAAACCCAGAGCAGGCCGGGTAGAGACTCATTTTTCCTATAGAATCAATGTGGGATAACTCACAAGTGATAGACTCATTTTCCCTATAGAATCAATGTGGGATAACTCACAAGTGATACTCATTTTCCATGTGGGATAACTCACAAGTGATATTCCAACACGCCCCCCACATAGCAGGCCGGGTAGAGAAATAATCTCATCGTAAGTCCAAGCCCACATAGCAGGCCGGGTATAGAAATAATCCCATCGTAAGCCCAAGCCCACATAGCAGGCCGGGTAGAGAAATAATCCCAAGCCCAGGCCGGGTAGAGACTCATTTTTCCTATAGAATCAATGTGGGATAACTCACAAGTGATAGACTCATTTTCCCTATAGAATCAATGTGGGATAACTCACAAGTGATACTCATTTTCCATGTGGGATAACTCACAAGTGATATTCCAACACGCCCCCCACATAGCAGGCCGGGTAGAGAAATAATCTCATCGTAAGTCCAAGCCCACATAGCAGGCCGGGTATAGAAATAATCCCATCGTAAGCCCAAGCCCACATAGCAGGCCGGGTAGAGAAATAATCCCAAGCCCAGGTCGGGTAGAGACTCATTTTTCCTATAGAATCAATGTGGGACAACTCTCAAGTGATATTCCAACAATTTGCAAATTGAAGCTAAGAGACAAAATATGTAAAAAAGATTCAAAGCACCTATCCTCTCACCTATTATATTCTAATCAAATTATCCAAAATCAGACAAATTAGAAGCAGTCAATAACTTTTTTCTTTATAATATAGGTACCATCACAGTTATGTGATCATTGTTATTATATTATTGACAGAAAAAGGAAAAACGAATAACCAACATAGATATTATCGAAATGAAACCACACGCAGAGAGAGAGAGAGAGAGAGAAAGACTGATGAGGTAAATCACCTAGCAACAGTGACAGTCCAAGGAGTGATGTACTGGTCCTCGGTGGCGGTATCCTCGCCGTACACATCCTCCACGCCGCCGCCGACGGTGGATTCTACCTCTTCTTCTACCACCGACAAGGACGAAGAGGGAGCATTCTCTCTCATCTCCTTGAGAGTATTCTCCATCAAAACGCCGACGTTTCGATCCATCGGCTTGCCATTTGAGCTCACGGAGGCCACCACCACCGGCGGAGCTGAAACCTTCCGCTGTGCAGACTGTGTCAAGCCTTTCGACACACAAGAGAGAGAATTATTCTGCAAGAGAGATCAAACAAAATCAATTCTCCAAACATCTCCAGAAATCACAATAAAATCAAAAGCATAATTTTCCAGAACACCAGATTTTTGGGTCCTTTGTTTCATGAAATGGTTTTCAGAATATAAATCAAACAAGATAAACTGACACATTGAAGCAACAAATTGGAATTTAATTAGATAAATAAGGAATATAAAATATCTGTGAACTTTGTTGAAGGCAAAAATTTACCAGAAAAGTGCTTCCGTTTAATGAAAACATGGTGATCTTGGTCTCTGCTGAATGAGTATGGTGAGCTGTGAGAGAGTGGGAATGGAGGAGAAAAAATGAGAGAGAAGAAGAGATGGCGAGTGGTACTCTCCTCTTTTGTTCAACTGTGAATTGTGATTCTCTTTCTTCTCCCTCACTTTCTCTCAGTCTCACCTACTTGTCCTTTTGGTTGCGCTTTATATAAGGAATTTTCCAAATGGTGAATATGTTTGACAATAATAAATAAATAAATAAAATTAACTTGAAGTAATGTATAAAAATATGAAAAGTGCTACAAATACGTGATAAACGTACGTAGAGGTCTACATAGCACTAACATTGAGTGGGGCCATTTAATTTTTTATTTTTGGTCGGTCATTTTTTGTCGTTCCACTTAATGTTAGTATTATGTACACTACAATATTATATACTTAGGGTGTGATCAGAAATTCTATGGCGCCCATATGGGCACCATATGGTGCCCTAATCTCACGATCCAACGCCTAATATCCATTCTATCAATTCTACAATGAATATTAGGCGTTAGATCGTGAAGATTATGGTACCATATGGTGCCCATATGGGCGCCATAGAATTTCTGAGGGTGTGATTGGTTGGAGTGATAAAGAGGGATATCACACATTTTCTTAAGCATTAACAACTTTTATGCTGATTGGTTGAACATGGCATGGCCCTGAAAAATGGCATGGCTCGGTCAAATTATCCTTCAATTTGTTTATAACACATCCGGCCAAATTGGTGGGATACAGCATAAAATCACTCAACAATTTTAACTTCCTAAAATGTCCCGAAATTTTCTCCGTAAAATCCCCAATTTCATCGTTCCTTTTTTTTTCCCTCTTCTTTCCAAATCGTAAACCAACATCCCAACTTCATCTCCAAAAATTTTCTAAAAATCCTCCCCCTCTCTTCTTATTCTTTTTCCCCAATTTCCATCCTTCAATTCTCATGACACACAAAAGTCTCGAATTTCTCAGCAATAGAAACAAATTTTCATGAAGCCCTGTTCTGCGAATCCGGACTGAGGTATGCTCTGACTGCTCCAACCGGTTCTTTTTTGAATCCGTCAAGATGAGCGCCATCCTCGAGCAGGTTAAGTTCTTCGGCGATCCTCCAAGCGGTGGGCCCGCTGCAGTGCTGGTGGCCGTGGATTTCTAAATTCGATCTGCGATTTCATAGACTTGGCGATGGAGACGGTGGACGCCACAGGCTAAGATGGCGGGCTCGCCTCGACTTTGGTGGCCGTGGATTACCGAATCCGATCTACAACGGCGGCGGAGAAGTGAAGTGCACAAAAGTGATGCATTTTGTGTAGAGGGCATTTTAGGAAGAAAGATGAAAAATTAGAAGTATGGAATTTATTAATATCTAACCAAACATGCTAATAAATTGGGTGGATAGATGAAATAATTGACATGGGAATTAATCAAGCCCATAACATTATTGTAACCAATCACACCCTTATAGTATTTCTCTAAAAATATTGGGCAAATGCTACAAGTACACCCTTATTTACAATATTGTGTACTTAAAACATTTCTCTTTGCACAAATACACCTAATAATACCCCATGGTGGAGCACACTCAATTTATCATTCACATCACACACTCTACCAACAAATACTACATTTATACTGTGGAACGAGTATAGAAGCAACAGTGTTCTTCACTTTGTGTGGTGTGTCAACTTTAATTGAAGAACGGATGGAATATAGAAGCATGTGTTGTTATTTTTCCAGCATGAAATGAGTGCGTGTAAAATCATATAATAAAACGATAAAATTTCTGAAAAGAAAAGCTGGACCACGAAAAGGCCCATGACATATATACAAAAGGACCTTTGCAAATCGCACGGCCAGCACGTTGTAGGGCTTGAATTACTATCCATTTGAGAATCTAGACCACAACTATCGAATCATTTATTTATATAAAATAAACATAAAATCCGTCGACAAAAATAAAAAAAAAAAAAAAAAGGTATGGACAAATATCAAACGCGCGGATTCTGAAAATCCGCGTTTGACCAGTCTTCAGCGGAACACGGATTTTGAAAATCCGTGTTTGACTAATTTTGACCTAAACACGGATTTTCACAATCCGTGTTTCCTTAATTACATGTTTATTGTTAATTAAGTAAGATTAAAATTAATTTTGAAACTAAACACGGATCTTGAAAATCCGTGTATATATAATTTATTTTATTTTTTTTTTAATTAACACGGATTTTGAAAATCCGTGTATATATAATTTATTTTATTTTTTTTTTTTTAATTAACACGGATTTTGAAAATCCGTGTTTTATGTATTTTTCATTTTTTTTTTGTTAAGCTCGACTTTTCACGAACTTGTTTACCAGCAATCGCGTTTATTTTAGCTGAATTTTTTATTCTTATCCTTCAATATAAAGGTTTTTTATAATTTTTGATTTAATATTTTGAACATGAAATAATATATCTTTAATATCAATTCATTCGTCAAATTATAAATCTACCCCCTACCATTAATACATACATACACAAAATACTATATAATAAAAGTCAACCACCATTACCGATAAAAAAAAATGAACCATAAAAAATGTATACAAAACCATCAAAAATAAATATCTGAAAATCTAGTACAAAAAAAAAAAAAAAAAAAATATCCACAAAATCACAAAATACAAAACAAACTAACTAACTAGGAGTATATGGAACCTTAGCCCTACGATTTCGGGACCCTCTCCGAGGCCCCCGTCTCGAAGAAGACGATCCTGCAGTCGGTCCAGGCGTGGCTGGTTCTTCTTCTTGTCCACCTTATTAATTAATTTTTGTAAAAAATCAGTAATTCGACCGGACAAATAAATAAAAA